ACTCTTTCAGTTTTTAACACAGCAAAAGTCAAACAAGCAAAAGAGACGTGTTATGAAATAATGCAAAAAGTGCTTTAAAGCTACCTGCTGAGTATTTTTAAGTGCTTCTTTTTCAGAACACAGACCATTGCCCTGTTATGGTAATTTGTTTTTATCCTGAAGTTCCACCAGTTTTTCAACTGAAATTGGTTACCTCTCAGTTCTAATAGAGGTTAAAAAAAACCTACATACAACCCTACTCATGAGCATATCCTTCATTTCTACACTGCCCAAAGCTTGCACTACTACCATAACCAAAGTTAAAACTTTATAGAGCTTTCAGCACCTTTTCAGTATCAGAGGCCAAATCTATCACGAGTGGATGTATTAAACTACCTTAAACATACATACACATAATTCTCAGGTAAGTAGTCTAATAAATCTCTAAGACTTTCTTACATTAAAACAATTCTGAAACCCTAAGTTTCCCTGTGTGGCACCCCATTTGCCCTGCACAATGCCCCTCTTTGAAGCACTTACCAGTGTAACAGAAGCTGCAACATCTGCACACAACCACAAGATTTCTTTTGTGAGGACCAAAATTATGGGAAAAGCCATCACACAGAATCCTTGGTGGTTTACTTTCAAATAGCACCTTTCACAAAAGACAACCCACCTTCCACCCACCTCTCAGCATCAATCATGAGAAACAATATCAAAAAAAAAGTATTTCCTTTTCTTTTTAAACCAAGGCAACAGGTTTACCTTACTAAAAACCCATTCACATATCCAATACCAACACTGTCCAGCAGCAATACAGGCAAACATTAGTTCTGTATATTAAAACTTTTTATTTTCCATCCATTTTTAGTTTCAGACAGACTCTTGCACAGGCGGCTCATATCCATCGGCTCGCTCTACTTTAGTGCCTGCCTCATCCCCAGAAGGTTTTCCAGCACCACCACCTTCACCATGCAGTTCCATCAGCTTGCCCACTACAACGAAGAAGTATTATAGTGAGTGATGCACCTATTTAAAACAGCTTTACGTTTCTGAATTGCTCATCACATACAAATTAAAACCAACAGAACATTTAATGCAGGTATGATCAAGTCCATTCCAGAAAGCTCATGCAAGGAGATGCTGCTGTAATAACTGGCAGTCAGACAAAAGCAGTGAAATAAGTGCTGTGAAATGAAATTGCAAATTAAAACTTTTTTTTTTTTTTTAAGAGTTAAATCAAGAACCTCCTACTGCATTATATGGGAATGTCAGAAAATGGGCAAATAGAATCATTCCATGTCATTTGGGACCGAAACATTTTGTCATCATTCATTCCCAAGCCAAAGACTTTAAACATTCAGGTGCCGTTTCAGGCAAGAAATCAAAAATGCTCTTAGCTGAACCATCACTTTATCCAACTAGAAGGACAAGCCTCTAAACTACTATAGCTACTTAAGCTTATGATGCTGCTTTAACATCTTAACCCAAAAGTAAATGCATTTTCAAATGATGGCTTCCACATCCTCCTCCAAGAACATTTATAAGTTTCCAGTACTTGACTTACACTCAAACTTGGGCTTCTTCAGCATCTTAACCTTGCGGACATAGACATCATGAAGAGGGTAAATGGACTGACAGGCCTTCTCTATGTCTTTGCCAATGCTGTCTGGGATCCTGAGAAATCAGAGAGCACATCAGTACCAAAGCGTTAAAAATTGTGCCTGCATCTTAATCAACAACACAAGTATAAAAAAATTATTGAGAATACATAATATTCTACAGAAGTTTGTACCATTAATGCTGTCTTAATTGTGACAGTTTCATTCAAATATGTTCAGATTACAGGACACATGTTAGAACAGATATAACCTAAGTGTGCTCATTTTCAGAGCGAAACTGCAATCATGCTTTTGTAAGCAAATATCATGCTTTGGAACATTTTCTTCTTGTAGAAGAACCCAGAACAGTCACAGCCCGAGCTGATCAGATTTACAGTTTCAGTCTGCAGAAACGTGAATGCAGTACTTCTGGAGGGCCTGATTTTACATTTATGCAAACATGATGGTTGATGGAAACCAAATACGATAGCAGAGACTACAGGAGTATTCAAAGAAAACAGCACATCAGCTTTCCAATGAGGGACCTTGCCTGGTCTCTGCCAAAGAGCACATGAAGCACCAGATTCCACAAGTATTTGGTAACCACTGACCAACAAACAACTATCTTAACCACAGGGAAGAACAAAATAAAACACCATCACAGCTTACAGCTTATTGACAACTTCTTTCAGGTCATTGGTTTGGACCTCTCGGGTCATGATCTCCATCATCTTCTTGCGGATCTGCCGCACCTGCTGGTGCTGGGCATACGAGGTCTTGCGGATCTGGTTGTTGCGCTTCTTGGTGAAACCCACGCAGAAGAGGCGCAGCAGGTAACCATCGGTGGTCTTGACATCCACGTGTGCTTCGATCATTGTCTGGAAAAGAAACAGATCATTTGCCTTCAACACGACAGACAGGTTTCTCCAAGTCATGCATCTGACATTCAGGTGTGGCTGATGCCACTTCAAACAGAGCTTTGCAATGCATCAGTGGTTACCTCCTTTCCTATGGGTGGTAACAACAAGGCGGACCTTTACGCACCTGCCATTTCTTGACCATGGAGCACATTTTATCCCTGGTGAGGTCCATTCCATGGAAGTTGGTCAGACAATTTTTGCCCTGAACATCTTCAGTTACCAGTTTAAATTTACGGAAGGCAACCTCATCATTCTGCAGATCAGCCAGGCTCACTTCAAATACGCGACCTTTCAGCCCATCAGAGGCAATTTCTGTATGACACAAAAAACCCACCTTTTATTAACACCACAATAGTATTCAAATCACACACTGAACTTCCATTTGATGTTTTCTAACAGTCAGTGAGCCACCAGCTTTACAGCTCTTAACTTTAGGTGTCTCTTGAACAAGGTCAAATAAGCTCACAGAACTACTGTATATTTTAAATGTGTAAAGAATCTTTCAGAGGTAATTCTATCAGATGCTGAGCACGAATACCATTATACTGCAGACTCCAGCAGAAATATTTTTTTAAGTGGAAAGGGTTACAAAATATTTGTAAATTATTAACAATAATGACAAGCTAAATGTAAATGGTGCACATACTCAGCAGAGATAAAGCTGTAACAAAGAAGTACCTGTGTCATGCTTCGTTTACAGTGACCCTTATTTTACTTCTTTCATACGGACACCGTTCAAAATAACTGTCAACATCACAACTTTTGTGCAACCAGGAGAGTATAATGCAACTGTTCAGCCATTCTACAAAGTTTATCTTCCAAAAATACTGTTACCTCTCATCCAGATCACCCAGCATTCCTACAAAGGCTTCCTCTTCCCATGTGCCAGATAACATAAAAAACCTTTACCATTCAGTGATGCATCAACACACCTTCCCAGATGTCTCCTTACCTAAAAGCTTCAAATTTGAATCCCTCCTAACACAATGGTCTTTGATCCTGTTATGACCAAGGTCTCTTGTAACACTGGGTCCACATCTCCCTCCATGATAATCAGAATGACTCCTTAATTCTTAACTTTCCTCAAATCCTTAGAAACTTCAGACATGCCCTTCTGTATCATATTCCTGCCTTGATACTCTTGTACAAACAAGGATCACACCATATTAAGTCCCCTGAAACTAAGCTCATTTATTTAAACGACTCAGTCAAGTTAAACTCACCCTAACCAAGCAATTAAGTTAGAAGTCCTTTTTACCTTCCAGGTTTTTAGTACTGTGAGTAGAAAGTATTTGTCAGCAGTTCTTTATAATCAAGCCTCCTTTGGTGACAGCATATGGCACAAATACACCTCCCTCTACTGCATAAACCCCACTACTCACTGGTTCCTTGAGTCCTGGTGACAAGTGTCTTCCCAATGTTTCGGATATTGAACATGGCTGGTGCTTTGACATCATACCAGTCCTTTTTGGAGAAAGGATCAACCCTTCATTTAAAAAAAAACAGAAAGGATTTTTAGCGGGTTTTCTCAGATTAAGACAGGCTACAATAGGAACTTCTGCACCCTATGCTTTTTGAATCAGAAATGAATAGTCAAAATTTCCTTATCAAGTTTAACAGACAGGTTGTTAAGCATGTGAATGAAAAGAGTTGGTAGTTCCCACAACAGCACGGCAGGCAATCACAGCCATTTAACTCAGAAACACGGCAACCATTTGCAGAATCATCACGCAGCTGACACGCATCGCTCTGCAGCGATACAAGCGGCGCGCTTTATCCAGCCTCCCCATGAAGACCCCATTTCATTTCTTGACTTCAGCCACTAAAAGGCACCAGATGCACTTCAGGTTGCGCCAACACCACCCGAGAAACCCCACTTTTGCGGCGAGCAACCTCCGCCAGGCCCGCAGGCCTCCAGCCCGCCCAGGCACGGGCGCAGCCGGCCCTG